TGGTTTGAAGCAGTCACCTAGAGCCTGGTTTGATAGGTTCAGATTAGCCCTTGGAAAGTTCGGTTACGTACAGGCCCAGTCAGATCATACATTGTTCATCAAGAGGGTGGAGTCCTCTCTGACACTACTTGYAGTATATGTTGATGATATTGTGGTGACAGGAAATGATAGCCATGAGATTGAGTCCTTCAAAAAACTCCTTCATCAAGAGTTTGAGGTGAAAGATCTTGGTGCATTACGGTATTTTTTGGGTATTGAGGTTGCTAGATCTAAATAGGAGATTTTTATCTCTCGGAGAAAATATGTTCTAGATCTGTTGGTGGAAACTAGAAAGTTAGGTGTTAAGCCTTCTGATACACCCATTGAACAGAATCACAAGATTAGTGCAGAGGGCGGGGAGCCTCTTGAAGACAAAGTTATGTTCCAACGGTTGGTTGGAAAGCTCCTATATCTCTGTCTCACTCGGCCAGATATCAGTTATGCAGTTAGTGTTGTTAACCAGTACATGCATTCCCCTAGAACTTCTCATCTCCTTGCGGCAGAGAGAATATTAGCATACTTGAAGAGATGCCCGAGTAAAGGTATACTGCTCAAGAACAATAATCACATGAAGGTCGAGGTCTATACAGATGCCGATTGGGCTGGGAGTGTTGATGACAGAAGGTCTACCTCTGGATATTGTGCCCTTGTGGGAGGTAACCTTGTCTCTTTGAGGAATAAGAAGCAGAGTGTTGTTTCCCGCTCTAGTGCTGAAGCGGAATACAGGTCAATGGCTAACGGAGTGGCTGAAATCTTATGGCTGAAATCACTACTTGAAGAGTTGGGTATTGACTATGAAAAGCCCTTGATGCTGTATTGTGATAATCAGGCAGCTATTAATATAACCCACAACCCAGTGTAGCATGACAGAACTAAACATATCGAAGTTGATCGACATTTTGTGTGAGAGAGGGTCACATCACAAGAAGTTCTCTCCCGTATATCACATCTAATATGCAGCTCGTGGATATCCTCACCAAGGTTGTACCAAGGAAGAAGTTAGAAGCAGACCTATCCAAGTTGAGAATGATAAATATCTACTCCCAACTTGAGGGGGAGTGTAGAGAACACTGATGTGGGCCCCACAGCAGTGGTCCCCACTGTGTTCGTAGGACAGCGTGTGTAATATTTGTTTCAGTCATAGTAGTGTCAGTTGGGGTCAGTTTGTTATTTCAGTTGTTATTTATTTCAGTTTTTATTTACTTTATTTGTCATGTAAGTACTAAGGGCAGATCTGTCCTTTTCTCTATGTACTGAACATAACCTATAAATACTAAGAGAGTGGCGGCGGCAGATGTGTTAGAATCTGTCCCTCCTTTCAAMCCCTTGTGTTCTCCTGTTTCTCTTCTCTTCCTTCTCCTTCCTCTCACTTTTCTTTTGCTTTTCTTAACCTAAAATCTATTAGGGTTCAAGACTGATTGCAGTCTTGATCTTCTACTAAAATAACACTTACATAGCAAATTATGCAAGGAAAATAGGAAATATATATAGAGCAACCTGATAGGTTTGCTGCTCAAAGAATGATGTATCATGTAAGAGGTATGTCAACCAAAAAAAATGCTATTTATGAGTTGAAACAATATCCCCATGCACGGTTTCATTGGTTTAGTGAAGTTGTGCTGAACATTTGGTTTGAAGAGACATTAGGTGAATTACTCAACATTCAATTGACATAGTGACATATCAAGATGGGTTCTACAGTATTTGTTGCCTATGTAGATGATATCATGGTTATACGTGAAGCCCTTAAGAGGACAAACAAGTTGACGTTGTGTTTTCAACAATATTTCCAAACCAAACAACTAGGGAAGTTAAATTTTTCCTAGGTACTAAAATTGTTAAATCAAACGTGCTTATAAAAACAATTGTTAAATCAAAAAGTAGGATTAATTTGTCACAAAGTATGTGTTGAATCTACTTGGTGAAATGGGCTGTAGGGAAGAAGAGTTGTTAAAACATCAATTGATCCTAACATTAAGTTGTTTACTAACCAATGACAGATGCTTGAAGACTCAGGCAAGTTGAATTCTTTGACTAGAACTACACATGACATTTTTCTTGGACTAGGTGTGGTAAAAAAAATTGAACGTTGTTTTTCCAGGACAACATTAATCCAACCACAATATAACTGATATGGAAGACAGTAGAATCATTGTTTTTCCAGGATTAACATTAATCCAGCCAAAATATGGTAGCTAAAAGAAGATATAGTTTCTAACCTATTTCCAAAGCAGGAGTGTCGAGCGGAAATGCTAATGTTAACAGTACGTATATTGTGTCGAGATTTAGCTCCTTCAGGAAGTAGAAAATAACCCTGCACAAAAAAAAAATACTACCTAAATTGAAGCAATTACGACAGGAAGAACATCTACGTAGTTAAGTAAAAGAGGGCATAAGTGGATAGAAAACTAACATAGAGATGGTTCACTATGAAAGTAGAGAGGAACCAACCAAGAAAAGTGAGAATTACCTTCTCCATGGTGTATAAGTAAGTTGGTTCAAATGCTTTGCTTCTTTTCTCAAGCCATTGCACTGAAGTAAACAGCACAACTTAGTGAAATCAAAATCATTTCTTGGATGATTTGAAACCAAGATAAATCAATTAAACAAAAGTAAGTTCAGTAGAAAATCTTCTTTTATAGTAATGAAATTTTTCATTAAAATGAAGAGAAGATAACAGGTGAAGAGGTTTCATCTACTAGAAAATTAAAAAAAAAAAAAAAACTCATTAAAGTTTACAAATGAACCACAACTACTACAAATAAATAGAACCAAAGTCCTAAGTAACCCAAAATTCTGTAACAAACAAAGCTCTATCCATATCTTCAAACCGGGAATGAGATAGTATCCATTGAGACAATAAGGAGCATAAATCAGCCACAGTCCTACAGTTATTGTGATGCTTCCTTTCAAAAACTCTTCCATTTTTTCTTCTTTCCAAATGCTCCAGAAAACCACAAATAAAATCATACTCCGCAAAGATTTTGCCATTTTACAACCAGAGCATGATGGTGATAATGAGGAGATCTCATGTGGCTGATACAAAGTAAAATTCAAATCTTTTGAAAAGAAAAAACAAAGGTTTCAAGATTTACAAATAGAATCGCTTGTCCATTGGGAACTTTTGACATGGCGACATTCGGTTAGACTTATATGAAAAACTCCTTTGAGTTCAAACACAGATGATCTAAACACTGCAAGAGAAACCTCTAAGCATGGAAATTATTACCCTAATGTTGTTTGGACCGTTATATCAGAATATGGGCTGAACCAAGCTAGGGTTTAGTGGCCAAATTTCAAAAATTTTTCAGTCCAAAAACTGAGAATCGAATTTTCTTATTTTGGAGAATTGAATTCTCTTAGGATCGACCTAACATTGGATTGGACCAGATTTGATTTCAAATAAAATAATAAGTGTGCCTGATACAAAGACTACAATGTGCAACTCCTAGACTGGTGCTTCACACCCAAAATTCAAGCTCAAAATTGCCCTCCCAATTGAAGATGGCTCTGGTGAAGTGGTGAGGCTGATCTTGTAACTAGTATTTAGCCGATTTACACTTCCAACTTGCTTGAATATTTGCAGCTGTTAACCACTCAATTTCTCTAATGTTTTGCAGAAGAAACACAGCAAAGAACAAGAGAAAAATTGCTTCTCAAAGGGTAGGTCGAACTAAGGTTTGTGGGTTGCAACTTGCAAGAGAATAGAGAGAAAGGTGTAAGAAAGAGGTGCACAAGCATATATCAGTCTCTACTTCCTATCCCCTTTTATAGGCAATCCAATTCTAATGTAATTAGGACTATCCAAATCTGATTTGGTTAGGCCTTTAATTACATTAGTTATTAGGGAAACCATACCCAAACCCATATCCATATTTGACCCATGCACATGAGTTGTCATGTGACTAGTCTAACTAGCTAATGGGCCTAGGCCCATTACTTAACATAATTGTTGCAAGTCTTATTGGGCTTGAATAACGTATAGCATGGAACCCACAAAGTTCTTATATTAGTCCATATGGGTTCAGTCCATGCAAGAAAGTACATGTGCCAAATTCACTGAGTGAACCCAATGAACCCTTGAGCCAATTGAATTGGGTTCAGTATGGGCCCAACACTTAAATCTAAGTGACCCTGGGTTTCAACCACCCTATGAAGACCAAGGATAATGAATTAACATAAGAAAAATCCCATCAGGTTTCAAACCTTTAATGGTCTTTTACTCTTAATCTCTCAGCCCTAAATTATCAAACACTACTCATAGGGAAGGACCTCTTCCCTAACTGCTAAATGAAATATCCTACTCTCTACTCGAATGGATCCCGGGATTAAAACCTTTTTTTATCAATAACAACAGATTTCATTAAATAGGAATAATCTTACAACGAAGACAAGATAAAGTATCTTAACTCCCCAGAAGTTGGACAGGCACCCAAAATGAAAATAAAAACAATTACAACTGAGCCCAGAAACCAGAAACCCTATTCACCCCTTGCCTTGCTAATCCATCAGCAAAGGAGTTTGCATTTCTCTTTACCCAAGTACACTGAACTTCCATATTCTTGATCAGCCATTTGAATTTTCTCTTTTCATTGCTGTAGCTCCAAAGCTTAGAGGTGTCTTCTTTTAGCCAGTTCACTACAACCATAGAATCTCCCTCTATAATCAATTTCTTGACATTTAGGTCTTTAGCCCTTTGTACCCCTTCCAAAGCTGCTAACACCTCAGCCCTCAAGGAGTCTCCCACTCCAATTGGGCCAGAGAACATAGCTATTACATTCCCTTTCTCATCTCTTAGCACCCCCCCAATACCCGAGGGCCCTGGATTAAAACCTTTTGCAAACCTTTTCTCATTTTTTTGATAAATAAATAAAAAAATTATTAAAGTAAAAAATATATTACAGATTCAGGGTGGCAAGTCATCACCCAGATACAAAGACCAACTTAAGACTAATGAGATAGTTCCACATTACATATTTGAAAACCCAAGACCTCACCTAACCTATTTCCCAACTCCTTATCTAACTGTCTGAAATCTAGGAGAATCAGCACCCAATCTACAACTGATCTGCTAACAGCCGAACCATCTTCTCCATATTGCAGGCTTTTGTCTTCAAAAATCCTTCTATTCCTCTCCTTCCAAATGTTCCAGCATAATGCAAATGGGATGCAGCTCCATAACACCTTCACCTTCTTACTCCAACCCAGCCTAGGCCAAGAAGAGAAGACCTCTTCTGTTGAAGTTGGGTGAAAACCAGAGACCCAAACATAGATGTAAACACTGTCCACAAGAAGACTAAAAACTTGCAAGTTATAAATAAGTGATTAGCATTTTCCTCCTACTCACAAAGACAGCATCTGCTAGCCATAAGGAATCCTTTGGATTTCAAATGATCAACTGTCAATATGTTGTCCATTGCTACCAACCAAGCCAAAGCCTCAACTCTTGGAGGGACTGGGTTTCCCCAAATTTCATTAAGATTACATGAATTTGAATTTGACCTACTAATAGCCATATAGCACAATTTGACTAAGAACTTTCCATTCTTGCATTCTTTCCACCAGAGTTCATCTCTCTGATGAGTTGTAGGTTTTACACCCTCTAGTTTCTCTAAAAGAGAGATGCATTCTTCAACTTCCCTATTCAGCAAACCTTTTTCATAAAATAACATATTATAAATATAAATGCATTTTGCATGATGATTTCTAAAACACTTTAAATCCACTATCAATAGTTATATGTTTCCATCAAAGAGAGTGTTAACCCTGATATTCTCTTTGTCTGACAAAGGGGTTAATCCTATCACAATGATCACCCACTCAGGTAGTATTCCAAACTGCTCCAACATACCCAGGTATTTGACCCTAAGAGGATCTCACCGGTTGGTCCAAAACCTAGTGCAGTATCATTACCAAGTCCGAGGTTAAGTGCAACTTTTCAATTTTTCCCATTTGTCTCCGAGGTCCAAGGCATAATTGGAAATTGGTTCCTGTTCAATGTTTCTCATAAATACCCACTAATTGTACCTTGGATCTAATCCTAGCAACTGAGACAATTTGCTCCACCATTCTAGCATCACATCAGTGTCAATCTTGTCAGGATACACTCCCCAAGTCTATCCAATGGCTAAGAACTTTCTAACTAACACAAGTCTACTAAATGTCCAATTTAAGGGATCATACACAGAAAACACACCAATCACAAACATGAAATAATAGTGATTTGATATTATTAATTCATAAAACTCAGTGTACATCAATTTAATTGGAGCCAAGGGCATACACTGTCTACCACCTAATACCCTATGTGTAGTTGGGAAGTTGGCATGCTAATTTGTTCAAAAAGGCACTGAATCAACCCTAGGTTGATTTTATTTGTAACAAGGTGGAACCATATGACAAAGCTCGAGGGAGAGTGTTAAGTAGCAATGTTTATGTTTTCTTTTTCTTTTCTCTTGTGATACTGTTATAGATATCTAATTAGGGGTACACTGCACAGTTTAGATATAATTACCATCCAAGAGGTGATGAAGAATCATCTTAGACAAAAAATGGAAAAAAAAATACAAGGCTTTCACCTCCCAAGTTCTAGAGCTAATAAAGCCCAAAAGTTACACTCAAAATCTACCCTTATGATCCCTTCAAAATATGGTAGTACCAAAATCCAGTCCCTAAATCTCTTTCCACTTAGGCAGACAACTTGTTTCATGCATTTTGACTGGCCATGGGATGCAGACCCATACAATCTTTGCTCTTCTATTTCCCTTCAAACAGGCCAACAACCAAAAGTTTCTTTAGATAACCTTGGGTTCCACTTCCACAAATCAAGGCAGAATAAGCTAAAATAGTACCTTCAGACATATTTTGAAAAGCAACATCCAAAACACAAGTACATCACACTCTCCTCTTTAGCTAGACACACGCATCCCTACCATCTGTATTCCCTACTCTTAATATGGTCTTGAGTAAGAATGCAGTGTAAAATACCAGCCATGAAAAAGCCTCCATCTAGGAGGCATAGGATATCCCCAAACCCCTTTAATGCCCGACTTCTCCACCTGACATTTTCTAAAGCATTAAAAAAAATTACTGAAAAGACACCATTACTACTTTCTTTCCACCACCTCAAGTCACCACTCTCCAAGTGGATTCCCACCGATTGTAATTTTGTCAATACTTTCACAAACTCTTCAATCTCCCAGTCAAAGAAGGGTCTTCTGAATCTTGGAGACCAAACCACTCTTCCTTGGTTCAGGTTATAGCATTCAGCAATGCATATATTTCGCCTACTAAGGCTGTAAAGTCTGGGGCATAATTTACAAAACCTACCAGCACTCAATCAACCATCCTCCCAAATCTTATGTTCATCCCATCTCCCACCTTGAAAGGGACATAATTCAAATGCTAATTGGAAGCACATGATTCCCTTCCACACATACACCTCATAGGAGGATAACCTCCTTTCAATCCCACCCAAATTCTGTAACACCATACTTACATTCTGCTACCTTCCTCCATGAAGAGTTTCTTTCCTCCCTAAATCTTCAGTGCCACTTCCCCAACAAGGCCCCATTAAATAGCCCTATTCTCCTTATCCTAAGATCACCATCTTTTATATCCCTACACAGTACACACCCAGTCCCATTTAACTATATGATATTTCTTCTCCATTCGGACACTCCCTATATACTCCAGAAGGTATCTCTTTATATTTTCTCTATTGTCTCTGCCACCAGCAACCTATATAACGACCACTTGATTTTGAGCCCTACAACTGTTAATTCTCTCCTACTCTTCGATCTCCCCCTCTCCTCTTCTTCATTCTTCTATCTTCTCACTTCTCTATTTTCTGATTTATACAAGTCAGCAGAAGATTTTCAGTTATAATACCCAATTTGGCCTTCTTTTCAGAAGGGTTTCACATGTATTTATCTTTAAACAGAACACTCCCAAAAGAGGGCCCTAATTTTAAGAGGGATAGGGCCCAACTAGATGGCTTTTACTGCAAAGATCTGAAGGGAATTATCAACCTTAAAGAAAGAAGAAGAAGAATTCTCAAGGTGATAACTGATAAATGAGGCACACTCTCCGGTTATTATCACTATGATGCAAAAATACACCTTCTAAGGATTGCGAAAGGCTCAACGCCTCTGGCACCTCATGGTCTACAAGTCCACTGACTCCACTCCTTTACAAAACCCAGTGTTCAGATAGGAGATGTGTTACAGAAGGATACCTAAAAAGAGATGGGGCTGTTCTTATAGGAACATAAAGAGTACAGCCTTTCAAATCTATGCATGAAGAGGAAATAATAGGTTGCCAAGTAGCAATAGAAGATGCTTTTGCACCTATGGGAAACCCAAGAATGAGAAAAGGAAGCACACTATATAGATATGACACATTCTTCAAGCAAATTAGCTCCAATATCTGCTACACCAATTATGGAACTTTTGCCAAGGGTCACTTTGAATCCAGAAAAGTAACTTAAAATTTTCTAGGATTGCCTGAAATTAAGAGCCTGCTTACGCAATTCCTTAAGAATGTATCATCTGCACATCATAAATGTTAAATGGCTGGACCCTCCTCACCCACCCTAAATCCTTCTAGCTACAAAATTTTTCACCTTTTATGATCAATAAATATACTCAATACCACAACCACAAATCAGAAAAAGGAAAATAAACAATGGATTTTATTCAATAAAATGACCATGTCCTCTATTTTTCTTTTTGCCAAATTTCATTATGTGAATAAGTCCCTCTAAGAACTAAGAAGCCCCATTCAGCATGATCATATAGCTTTCTCAAAATACATCTTAGAAAGCAGACCAAGCACCCCCTCTCTTAATGTTGAACCAACACATTCATTTGCAACATAGACCGCGTCATGAATTTGTGTTCTTTCAACAAACACCATTTGAGTGGACCAACCACCTCCATTACTATTTTCAGTATTCTTCACAGGAATTCATCAATTTATGTTCTGGGCGACACAAAGTTCAAAGTATCAACACATATCGGTCGATACTTATCGTTTCGGGAGCTCCCCGATACGCCCCTACAGAGGGTGTATCGGGGTTCTGACCGGTTCAGGGGGTGGAGGAGCCTTAAACCAGCCCCCAAGAACTGGTTTTGAAAAAAAAAATAAAAAATAAGGTAAGATACTCCCCTACCGGCATATCGGGCATATCGATATTTAGAACCCTAATTAGTCAAAAATCCTTCAACTCCTTGGTCATGAATCATTTTTTTGACTTTGCTTCCTTGTATAGATAAGTGTTAGTGGTGTTAGTGAAGGGGTATTTCAGTCTTTGTACTTGTTGAGAATGCTGATGTGTACTGTTATGTTAGTTCGAGTGCCTCTTACTTAAAGAAGGGCACTCAAGTCTTTTTCAATAAGTCAATAATATAATAATAGGTCTGGCCGAATCAAGGGATTAACTTTTTTCCCTAATTCGAACCAGCCTTTCTCTCTTTTCTCTCTTCTCTCTTTTCTTCTTTCCTCTCCTACTTCTTGCTGTCTACTTTACTCTACAGTCAACGAACAAGACAGAATTCTATGGCAGGTCAAACTTCAACAATAAGTATTTTCGCACACAGCTGACTTCTCTGACATTGGGCTTTTATATATATATATATATATATATGGCTGACTTGTATACCAACACTTTTTGCATATTAGTAGAAAACATACATTATACACACAGAGGTCTCAAGAGTTTCAAAAAAACAATAAACCACAAAAGAAAAGGGAACACGTTGGGGAAATCCCTTACCTAAAAATAGGTTAAGCCTTTCTAAGTGAAACACCTGCAACCATTTCGGAATATCCAGATACAGATTTATACCTGCAATATTCTGTATTTGAAATTTAAGTTCCAACATTTATAAGAAGAGCATAATTGCAAAAAAAAATAAAAATAAAACCATGGATTTAAGCAATACACCAGAATCAATGTTTAGAAAAGTCGAGGCATGAAGCAAGGTGCTAGGACCTTTACACACGTGAAGCATGAGCAATAAGACACGACGCTTAAGCCTCGTGGATTACCAATTTAAAAATTAAAAAAAAAAACATCTATTAAATTGAGAGTAAAAAAGTATGGAAACATGAATAAGTTGAGTATATTTTTTATGCAGGAAAAGCATATAAATGAATTAACAACCACATACATAGAGAATCTGAGAATACAAGGAGTTCCAAAGAAAACCATCACAATCTTACAAGACATTTATTAACTACTAAGAAGCTTTAAATTTAAAAAAATAAAAACATCAAAATGGCTTTTAAAAAGCACAGACATACATACGTACATACATAACATATATATATATATATATATAAACACAAGTGATGTTAAAGTTTGAGAAATGTGCTTTATACTTTCAAGTGTGAGCCTCAAGGCATTTTCCTTGAGCCTAGCCTTGAGGCAACACTCAAGGAACAAGCCTTTTGCATTTTTTAGAAAGCAAACCAGAACAATGCAAGGTTTCAGTCCACGTTTTTTGTTCTCATGCAGACCTAGGACCAGCCAGCTGCACACAGGTTTAAAAGAGTTGGTTGATTGATTCCTCTGGGCCTGGTTGTTGGTGTTTCTGGAGATCAGGTCATTGCCCAAGGGTGTCTTGGTATACTGCCCAAAAAAAGGAATAACCAGAAAGACATAAGAAGGCAAGTTTCATTAGGGTTGTGAAACTTAATTGGGGACTAATGCTTGGGTTTCTTTGGACCTCTTTCATCATTATAGGAGGTGCAGTTGCATCTGTTTTGTTTTTTAATTTATCTGGTGAGATCAACATAGGGTTCTTTAGTTTCTCCAGAACTTGAGAGAGCACTGATCTTTGTATTGAGTGATGGAGTCATATACCTAAATTGGGCGGACCTTCTTGGAGTTGTTTTAATCCCTTGAAGAGATTGACAGCACCTAGGTGTGTTGGACTATACTGAGATTGATCTAGGGGTCCCTTCTATCCCCATAACAATTGCTGTTTTGTAGCTTTAGGGAGAGCAGATTGATAGTTTTTTGGGTTTGGTTTCTTTCAGGAGATCTCTCTATTCATAGTTTGTCTATGATTATTGGTTTTCATTTTTTTTGATAGGTAACTTCAAGATTTTGTTAATAATAATCAGAATCAGTACAAGCAATAATATCATCCCTTGGGTAGGGTAGCGATTACTACCCTACCTCCTCAAGTGTGCAAATTAAAGATTACAAATAAGCCTAATATAATTGATTCCTATTAACCCCTTGTTTGGCTAATGTATCAGCCAGCCCATTTACAGATCTCTACACCCATATATATATATATATATATATATATATATATATATATAATAGATAGATAGATATATATAGATAGATATATGTGTGTGTGTGTATAGCATGCCTCTCCTTTCTCCCCCACCCCTTCTCTATTTTATCGTCTTTTTTAATTCTTTATTTTTTAAATTGAACAAAATAACTTAAGTAGCTAATCATCTTTAAGACTTTCATCTCTCCTCATTAACTCACCATTAACTCAATCCTTTCTTTCTCATTAACTCTTTTGATTATCTCTCCTCATTAATCATGCCATTAACTCTCTGTCCTCCAATAACTCACCCCACTAATTCTCTCTCCCCAATTACTTTCCATTAAATTGCCTACAATCCATTGACTCCTTTTCCATTTTTTTTCATTTAAAAAATGAATAAACCAACTGCACTTTGCTTAGGGATGATCATTTGAACTTTCCTGGGCCCATATCAGCTCACCATTAACTCAATCCTTTTCCATTTTTTTGTTTCATACTCAAATTTCATTTAAAAGCATCTAACATTAATAGAAAAATTAAAATTAATAATAAAAGTAAAAATTATTAAAAAGCAATAAAAACAAACCATTTGTATTCCATATAAAAATAGTAAAATTAATAATAGCTCAATTGGAAATTTCATAAGGCTACTCTCCTTAGGGATGATCATTTATGACATGGACCATCCTAGCTAGACCTACAAATTTCCAAGCTTAGGCAACTATTTTCTTTTTAGGCCCAACTCAGACCCACACCAAGCTCACATAAAATGTGGGTTAAGCCTAGGCTAAAGAACCCTTTTCTCATGCATACAGATGCTTGGGGCCCAAATTCTATCTCTACTATGGGTGGTTTTAGATATTTACTCTTGTTTTCTGATGATCATTCTCATTTTATTAATAGAAATTTAATGTACAAGTTTACATACACTTGATAGAGGGATAAAAAGTTTTTATCTCCCCTTCTAAACTTCCCTTACTATTGTGCCCAGAAAATTTGATCTCTCCCTACCCCTTGTTTGGCTAATACATTTGCCATACTATTTGTTATCTTTTAACCCATTTTACTTTCACTTCCATCTCTCTAGTTAGTCATAAAAACTTTTTAATTCATTTTTGTACTGCCAAAGGGCTGCCTCTCCATTCTGTAGCCACTCCATCACCAATCATGAGTCTCCCTCAATAATTGGCTTGTTGATATTCATCATCCTTTCTCTTTGTGCACCTTCCAACTCCTTTCAGCACTTTATATCCTGATAGTGAGATGTTTCATGTTACCTTTGAGGGCTTTTGAATGCACTTGCTTTGCTCATATTCTTGGACCTCATCATTCTAAGTTTGATCCTGAAGCTAAGAAATATGTTTTCCTTGGGAATGCACAAAATAAGGGCTACTCTTCTTATGATCCAATGTCTAGGAATCAATATCCAAATGGTAGGAATAGGTGTAATTAGAAATTCTGAGAATAGGATTTTGGCTTTATATTCAGGGCCAATTGGTTTGGGAAACTCCCTTAAGGCTGAATTTTTGGCAATGTTGCAAGGTCTTTGGTTAGCAAAGCAATTGGAGTATAGACAGGTGGAGGTGGAGGTGGAAGGGAATTCAAAATTAATTATCTCCTGGGAAAATCGTAACAAACATACCCCATGGAGTCTCAGATATGCTTTTAGGGAAGTGGAAAGGTTTGCAAAGGACAAATGCGGAATTCAAGTGGGTAAGGAGTGCAAATGGGATAGTTCATCCCTTGCTAAACAAAGGGTTACAAGGCAGCAACTGTTTTAGGCTTCTAATGTGTTGGATTGAAGTCTTTGTATGTATGAGTATTCAGCTGATAAGAGTTCTTATTAGCCTATACTTAAGTTTAAGTTGTCCTGTA